GGAGTTGAGAAGCTTGAGCTCGAGAGTGTTGAGGACAATCTCGGTGGTGGGCTTGGTGAGTTGACCTTCAATGCTGCACACGGGTCGGTCAGCATGCTACCCAATCCTTGAAGAAATCAAGGCGACCTACGTGACTGTGCCCTTGTAGGACCAGGTCGTGAAGTCCAGGTCCGTAATCACCAGGTCGTAGTGGACCGGCTTGAAAGTGTCAGGGAGAATGTCTCTGTCCGTCATGGCTGCTCGTCTCCTCTGGTGCGAGGCGTGAGAGCAAGATCGGAAGCTCGTGAGAGCGACAGCTGGTGACGGGCGAATGGGCAGTCGACGCGGGGTAGCTCTCTTGGGATTGGCCGACAGTGACGACGACACAAAACGGGCGGGTGCAGACGGTCGAAGGGCAACAAACGTGGCTGAAGGAGAGGCACAGCGGAGAGGGGTCGATGGGAACAAAAAGCGTCCTCTGGCGAGAACGGTGGATGTTGACCTGAACATGAAAAGAAAAGATGACAGAAACAAGTCCAGTCAAGCTTTGGGAAAGCTGCAGAGCACTTGACCAACCCCACCTCAGCTCTCGCAACGCGCCTCACCCGAAGCTGTGCTGGCAGATGGCCCCTCACCTGATGCCAGAAGGAGTGGACGGGATGGCGGCAGTTGACGCAACCGATGAAACGCTAGGCACAAGCAGGGCCGCTTTCAATGCGCAGGATCAGTCCAGATTGGGGTCTGAATGGACAGCTGTGGAAAGGACGCTCCAGCGAGAAACAGTCAATGTGAACCGAAACATAGCTTCCGGATGTGGGTGGGTCCCCGGGATCGAAGATTGATCGAAGCTTCGGGCGGAACGGGCGGGGTTGCAGTCCCTCACCGGTGGATCCCGTTGATGGCATGGAGATGTGGAATAGATGTTGCAAACACAGGCTGGAAGCACAAAAAGATAACCATGTTCAATTCTGCCAAGGTATCCATGATAAATGGCCAAGCCGGCCCGCATGAGTCCTGCCCGGCCCATCACATCATGGCATCACCAGCCAGGTGACAAAATGGTGACGATCCATGTTACGTAGTGTCCCGAATTCCCAGTCCCAACTCCCAGAACGGAATGCAGATAAGAGCTGCGAGTCCAACCACCACCTAGGTAAAATAGGTTGTTGTCGCTGGCTCTGAAGAAAAGCGCTCGACCTTGACTAGCAAATGAAATAGAAAGGATAAAAAGCACCACCCAATGACGACCTTAGTTCCATGCAACCCATCTAGTTCCCGGAAACCTCACTCTCGGCCTGCTCGGCTACCTTATCCCACCACACACCATGAGCCTCCCGATCGACAACCGACACCCTTCCAAGCATCTCCACCATATCCCTCACCTTGTCCACAAACTCGGCCAGACCCAATCCTGCCAGCTTTTCCCCTGCCGTGCTGGTGAATTTGACCTTGTCACTGGTGCTCACAGCTGCCAGCCGCGCGAGAATGTGGCCTCTGAGTCGTCCAAGCAGCAGCCTCAGGACCGGCTCACTCACCTCGTCCTGCCGTGACTGCGTGGCCGCTTCCGCTCCAGCAAGCAGAAACTTGCTGACCAAGGCCTTGAGCTGTCCCCTCGTCGCCGCCGGCATCGACCGTCCCGCCTCGAGCGCCGCCATGATGCCCTCCACGGCAACGTCGAGTGCCAGATCTCCCTGCTGCTCGCTCCTCTCCAGCACCGCAAAGATCCTCTGGGCTTCGTTACGCCAAGGGGCTCGGACGTCGCGCTTCAGCAGGTTTTTGCACTGCAGCAGGATGGCGCCAGTGATGACGATCCGTCTTGTCAAGCGTCCTGCTTCCACGGCGCGCTTGTGGTCAAGGCGAAGCATCTCTGGCATGTCGTCCAGCGCCACAGGTGAGAGCTGCGTAAACAAATTGACCAGGAGCTGCGCGTATATGCGGTTTGCTGTCAGCCGGGAAGAAGGGTGGTTGACGCCCTCTGGGTCTCTCCTCGAGACTTCAGCCAGCAGCTTTTGCTGCGTAGCCTTCCATGTCTGCAGCGCGACCGATAGATCAAAGTGTCCAGCTTCGAGATCCGAGGCGAATGCTTTCGCCTCGTAAACGGGTGCTTGCGTCACGAGTTTCGGCGCCGCAAGCTGGAGTAGGTAGTTGGCATAGTCGCTGAGCATGACGTCGATGAAGCCATTCAAGGCTTCGAGACGGTCAACGTAGTTGCCTTGGCTGAGCTTCTCCTCGGTGAGCTTCTTCACTTCTTCATCACGAACAGGTGCACAGAGTTTGGGCAGTAATGTTCCCATCGCCTCAAAGAACTTTTCGTACGAAAAGCTCCCCATGGCGAATTGCTGCTTGGCAGTTTCCGTGTCGAGCAGCTCGCCGATAAAGGTATGCATTGAGTTCCCCGGCTTCACCAGCCGCTGAAGCTTCTCTCGAATAGACTCGGCGACCCTGAGGAGCAAGAAAAAGTGCGCCTCTTGGTTTTGCGTCTGCATGGTAACTCGCATGTCCTCAAAGATTGGGTTGAGTAGGCCTGCCTGTTGCTCGTGATACTCGTGTGGCTCGGTCCGGAACTCCTTGTTGATGGCTAGCTCATGAACAACAATCCTGTTGTCAGGCAGCAAACTCTTTTGGCTGGGAATGATGACATTGACCTTGAATGTGTCGCGCTTTCTGGCGGGTGTTGACGGGGGAGTCGGCATTTGACTGGAGGCATCTTGTTGGCTGCCCTCTTGCACACCAAGCACGCCCATGGCAGTCTCGGTCACTGAATGTTCGGCAACGCGAGGCTTCATGTCGCCAACAGGCTTCTTTGCCTTGGCCCTCCGAGCAGCCTTGACGGCGTCCGCGACCATTTGCTTGCCCCGAGCCGGACCGGCCAGCTTCTTGATCCTGACCAACAAGAGGAGCTGGTTGTCACGAATGCTCTTCTTGTACACCTGATCGACCGACCCGTCGGTGCTGTCCTTGACTGATTCCCAAATGGCATCAAGCTCCACAAACTGCATGACCATCAATTCCACAAGTGAGCTGGAGTCCCGAGCTTTCCATGCTATAAAGGCATTATAAAACGTTGCATAGACTTCGGGAAAGGTGGTAAAGAGTAGCGGCGGAGGGGTATAATTGTTGAAGGAGGTCAGCCGCCCGAGAATATTCTCAAACGATACAAGCAAGTCTCTGGCCTTGCCGACCAGCTCTTGTGACTGCGGATTCGGTAGCTCGTCTTTGGGTATTGGCTTTGACAGACCCGAGCCGTCCTGATCCGATTCCTCGACTGCCTGGCCTTCCTTATTGCTGAGCACTTGAGATGGGTGCCCCAAGATGAGAAACGCACTCAAGAAAGTCCGTACTGCCGCCATCTCCTCCACAGACCCCTGTTTCCCCTCGTCGAGGCCGCATATTCGCAGTATTCTGGACGTAACAAGAAGTACCTTTTCCTGAGACAGCAACACAGTGACCTTGTCAAACGATGTTTCCCTAACCGCATCAATCGACAGCCCAAGTGCAGAAAACTCGGCAACCGCTCGTTGCCGCTGGAGAGCTCTCCACCACCACTGAATCTTGGAAACTGCTGCATCCTCGGTCAATGGGGCTGACTCGCTGAGCTCCATGCCATCAGTCTCGGTATCGGCGTTGGGCATGGACTCGACGAGAGGAGATTTTCGCGTCCCCAAGCTCTGCCCACGCTCCCTCCCCCTAATCTTGGCCGCATTCCTGTTTCTAAACTCTTCCCTTCTCCTCTCAGCCTCTGCCAGCCGCTCCTCCATTTGTGACTTCATTTTTCTCGCCTCTTGCTCCCGCTTCTCCTTCATGGTCTCGGCGACAGCCTTGGCGCGCTTGACCTCCTCGGCACAAGAGGCAGCGATCTCGGCCAGGTTGCGCTCCCGGGCCTGAGCAGCAGCAAGCGCTCTCTCTTCACTGGCGCTCGTGTCCTTGGTGACAGCCTTTGCGATGGCTGCGCGCAAGCGCACCTTTTCGGCATGGGCGGCGCGGTCTGCGAGGCGGGCCTTTCGGTCCTCGAGAATGGACGCTCGACGCAGGTGCTGGGCTACATATTTGCTCTGGGGACCGCCCTCGAGGCTGTAACCGTGTGACGATCGGGACTGGGCCGACGAGATGCTGTTGCGGCGAGAAGAGGCGGCGCTGTCTTTTCGTCGCGTCTGGTTTGTCGGGCGGTAGAAGAGGCGGGCAGCGATATGGGGAGGTGGGGTCGAGATCTTGGCGGCGTCGGCGTCGCCCTCGACGAGATCGATTTCTTCGTCGGGTGGTGGGAGAGAGAGATGGACAGGATCTGGGGTGCCGGCGGTGGGCGATCGGATCGATTCCTCGAGGTTCCTTTCGGGCTCGGTCAAGTCGAGCGACGGTCGCCGCATCGCGCTCGCCTTTGTTTGTGTCGTTGTGGTGGGCAAATCTTTGTCGTGTGTGCGGCTGGCGCTGGCGCGATGGGAAACTCAGCAAAAAGTAATAATGGCACAATTGGGAGGTGGAGAAGGGCCGTTATGTCATGGATCGATGGTCCTAGAGATGCAGCTTGCAGCTTGCAGCTTGCCTGCCTCGTGGGGATGTTGCAGTGCGCGTCCTGGTGACAAAGAGAAGATGGCAGAGACAAGAAAAAGAGACCGTGAGCCGGCGGAGGGAGGGAGTCAAAGAAAGCGTAAATAACTACTAACAGGAGGTCCGTCTCCCTCCTCCTGCCAAAAACAACCTGGAAGCGAACGGTGCTGACACAGACGCAGTCAAGATGATGCGAACAAGAATAGAAGGCTGGGGAACCTTGATGACGAACAGCCGAGCTCGGGCCATCCTGCAGCCTGGTTGCACAACGAAGATGCATTGTGCCAAGTCCTGCCGTTCTTCGTCCTCTGACAGAGTCGCACCCAAAAAAACTCCCACGGCCGACGTTAGCGGATCTTTGTTTCAACGTCAAAGACACCAATTACCCCTTCCCCTGAACCGAGCAAAAGAGCTAGTGCTCCCGGCTCAGACCGTCATTGTCTGGTTTCTAGATCACGAGTCGAGCCGAGAGGGCATCACCTCCCCTCCAGCCTCTGCTCCTCCCATCTGTCACCCTCAGCATCGAGCTCCACCAACGAACTGTGGATGGTCCCTGGCCCCTTCCTCCCATTCGAAGCATGTAGCTCATGCACCAGTTCTCCGTTTCTGCCATAGTGTCCCCAGCTGCTGTCACCCGGTAGCTCGGGCGATACCAGCATCCAAGGTCCAGTATACGGCGAGTTGAACATGGTCCATCGATCTTTATTCTCTCGCCTTTCCCGTTCCTCTACCTCCACATCCGCTTTCGCCGAGTTCTTTCGACCTCTTTCGCTGGACGTGTCACGGCTAGTTGTGACGACACGGGTGAAGATGCCCCTTTTCCTCTCTGTGCCCCCGGGCCACTTCCAACTCCTCGCCCACCTCGATGGAGTCCATGAGGTGATTGACTCTCTCAGTTTAACAAATGCCGACCTCGAAAGGCCTGGCTCTTGTGTTGACTTGGTTTCTAAAGTCGCAAACTTGGTAAGGGCAGGGCCTGTGTTCCTCGGGTCATGGACTGCCCCAAACAAGCTCTTGTTTTTCAACCTTCGGCTTTGTTGCATCTTCCGCTTTTGTTTTCGGCGCCACATGAGGTAGGCTACCTCACACGCTACCAGGAGGGCCACCGTGAGGATTAGACCTATCGTGAGAGCTGCTGCTTGGCCAGAGGACATGTTTTCAGAGTTGGCTGTGCCGTCCTCGCCTGGTGGTAGCGGGAGGAAGGATGTGGTCACTGTTGTGTTGTCGAGACTTGTTGAGATGTGCGTTGGTGCTGGGCTCCTTGTCTGGAGGGTTGTCTGTGTCGAGGTGACAGGATTGCTTTCTGGCTCGGCTTGTACAGTCTGAGAAGAGTCCGTGATAAAAAAAGCAGGACTGCAAAGTTCAGGGTCTGCAGAGACGTATCCGCCCTCTTTGGTTTGCGGTTTGAAGCGGAGGACATAACGAGTCTTGGTCGATAATGTTTGTGGGGGTATGTTGGGTGTTTTCAAGTTGATTGATCCGTCATGGCCGAGGTTGATTGCCCCTTGCGCACACTATCAGCACGGAGTGGTTGTGAGCAACAGATCAAACTTACTGGCAAGGCACAAAGCCATGGGGTTGACCTCGAAATTCCATGTTGTCAACCAGAGGTCATACACACTATTGTTGAGGGCATTCCAAGATATGGGAATGTTTTGTCCGTGCGTGTAAGACTCTGAAAAGTCCGGCTGCTTTCCGCTCGGCACATTCCAGAGGTATTGTCGTTGGGCGCCACCTTGTCTCCTTTCCACTGAAAATAAACGCCTCCAGGTTGCCGACATACTGACAATACATAGGGATATGAAAAATAGAAATAGACGCGCTGCAAGTTGGCAATCCCACGGGACTGCGAGCCGCGAGGCCTTTATGTTGGTGATAATATCCGCCATTCCAGCCAAGCGTTGCCCGCACTCGAATGCAGTTGCTCTCCAACATGGTGGTGGTTCACCACGCGGTGTGCCCAACAAGCCTCGATCGGGCGGTGATAACCAGGTTGAGTGAAATGGCTGCAGGACCGCTTGGCCGCATTGGGGTGCACCTGAGCGCGCCAACGAATGGAGACGATGGAATACCCGCAGAAGCGCGACTTCAAACCAACATGGCTATGAAGAAGGATATCTCTCTCTCTTGGCCCTGCGGTAGTGACCTGGCCGCCATTGGTGGCCTAGCCGTCGCTGGCGCTTATACCAGACTGCCGGGTCTGTCATGGTGTCCTCTTGACCACTCATTCACGCCCACTAACACTTGCAAGTTGGGTAGAGCTTCTTGGAAGCAAATCTGCCTGGTCGCCAATCTGCGACAATATCCAAGGCCCATCACGAAGCCGACACGTCGTCGCTGAATACACAGCAGAGAGACGAAAACACGAGCTAGGTGTGTCAAAGTGGCCCTTGAGTCATATGCATGCACCTCTCCTACATTATTCCGACCAACATGCCATGGACTGCAACACTGAATGTGCTCGTGATCATGGATCTGAGATTACCTGGTAGAGACAAGCAACATGTCCTCCGCTCCAGTGCCATGATACCTCTGTGTCCAGATATTAGCCAAGCGACAGGGAAAAAAAACAAAAGGTTAAAGGGGGCCAAAACAAAGCAAAGGTGGGAGGAAGTCAAAATTGATCGCGGCAGGGATCGAACCTGCGATCCTCTGCGTTACAGATGCCAAATAAGCTTGTAAAGCAGATGCCTTAACCACTGGGCCACGCAACCTTGGATGGAGATGTTGGTCAGAGCTTCAACTTACCTTGTGGGATGGAGTGGGGTGCGGGGTATGCTTGAGTCTACACTAGGACATAATTGATTGCATGTCTGTTTTTATCCTCTTTGTGATAAAGGATGCCATCACATAACGAATTCTGGTTGCTTTAGGTTTGCTTGGGTACCTATTTATGTAACAATGTATGTCAGTAAGAAATGAATGTCATTTGCCACGCTCTTGGAAACACCTATTGGTGGTCTGGAAAGCACTTATGAGGAGAGAGCCGATTACATTACACAACACAGCGTTCTGTCTCACTGTTTCACATACATTTCGGAATCCCATATCCTCGGAAATGCACGTCCCTCTGCACTCTCCAAAAGCAGGCTGTACACAGCGGCGTTCAGCCAGCCAAGAGCCTGGGCTTTGCTCGTCGAGCTCGTCGCCAAGCCCCCAAGACTCGCCTTTGACGATGCAGAACGAGAATTCGCTGGGCGCCAAGAGTCTTGGGATCCTCATGATTACCAACAGAAGGACCTGGCCAAGGCTGGGCGAAAGAATCATCATGCACCCTCTGGTCGGGAATAAATCTGCTTTTAAGCATTGCTCTCCCTCTTTCCTCTGCGGGACCTGGAAAAAGAGACCATTCATTCTTTCTCGACTGGTCACTATCTGGCGGCAACCTTATCAACGCCGACCACCCCCTGCCTTTGGTACAGCAGCGTCCACAACAGCACCCAGAACGACGACGATGTTATGAGATATCGCCCCTCCGCTGCTTACAGGCTCGTATGACGGAGATCACGGCTAAATAGCGTCATCCATATATATCAGATCCAGAAGGACTCGCCTAGGAAGTCGACAGTCGCCGTTTTCAGTCAGAGCATCATGGACTCGCCACATCAACATCCGAGGAGAGTTGAGGACCAAGATGCAGCAATCATATACGAAAGCGACTCCGAGGCTGGCGTGTATCAACAGGCACGATGGCAACACCGAACAGACACTATAGAGCGGCAAGGAAACAGCAGACCAGATCTTTTACTCTCCAGAAAGCTGAAGCCATGGTACACGGCCCGCACAATCTTGGGCATCTTTTGTGCCGTGCTCTCGCTTGCACTATTGGGACTGGGAATCAAACTGGCCGTCAAGTATGAGTCGGCACCGCTCATTCACGTCACTGTGGCCTTTACAGTCTTTACGGTATGTTTGTCTGTTTTGTGCTAAAAATCTCTGCACGATGCTGATCAACAACAGGCCGGGGCATCCCTCCTATGGAGCTTGTTTGAATTCATCGCCATGTGCACCCGCGCCCAGAGAAGGGGCATCTACCCCGGCGCCCACGTGGGCGTGCACATGGGTCTCTGCCTCGTGTCTGTTGCGGTGGTGGGCTACGTCGGTATCTGGGTGTCGCATGGGCAGGACAGTCGGGTCGAGGCAAGCAGGAACAGGCTGGAATACTCGCCCTTGTACCACATGGGGGTGGTGATATTGATTGTTTCATCTGTGTTGCTGTGAGTATTCCTGTCCTAGTCGTCAACATGAGCGTAGCATCAGAGGACTAACGGCAGGTCTAGACTTGTTCATTTTGTTATTTCCATCCTGGCCTGCCAGGAACTGAGGCGGAAAGATGACGGGGATGTGCACAGAACTGTTGTCACGGTTCGATATGACGGAGTCGGCCCTACAGGAACGGCGCGACCAATGGGTTACCGGACGACGCCGGAAACGATTGGTCTGCCAGCCTACACGACTAGGGACCATCGGGATGAGGCAGCAATGATTCGATCTCCACCTATTGTGATAGCCAGGGGTGATTTGGGTGTGGAAATCATTGAAACTCCCACTACCACTCGGACAGTCTTGGGGGAGACAGAGATGGACGGACCAGAGGAGAAAGCACTCAGGTCGTCAAAGCGGTAATGGTAGAGGGTTTCCTACCACACGTCAGTAATGAACGCAATGCGATATAGCTAATGACTAATCAATACATGTGTATCCTACATGATATGGGTGATTACATCAAGAAATGTGTCAACTTCTCCTGAGAATTTGCCAGTTGGGAAGTCCGGGGTAAGCTTGTCCGAAGGATTCGATAGCTGCAAGACTACGGCAGATACGGCCCGTGCATGTGGCCTTTGGCTCACTCGCGCCATCTTTCACTTTTTCCAACACCTTGCAGTTGTTTTCTTAGCCGGCAAGCAATTACATATATCCCCTTCATCATATGCCCTTTTTCGTTGTACGTATCTGAGGTTGTAACAGTTGTGTTTGTCTTTCCCAATCATGCCGACGGGAAACTAAGGAACGCCGGGACGACGAGCGGGGGTAGGCACCAGGGTTGCATCGTGAACTGTAGGAGACTTGAGAGCTCTGAATTTTGCGCTTTTGGTGCTGTCCAAGAAAAGGCCAGAATATTTCTGGAGGGTTTGATCAGCTTGCCCTCTCAGGCAAAACACCAAACACCAGCATTCACATTCCTCGCAGTCAATCTCGTGGTGAAAGCAACTGGGAGCACGTGGGGGGAGGGGACACCGGGCCAGACCCTTGGGATAAAAATAAGAACTTAGCGTCATCCAAGCTCTCGGTGACATTGCGCTATCTAGCAAACGCGGGGCAAAAGAGACCTGTATCTCTCAACCTGCAACTGGAATGTTGTGTCTAAACTATGGGTAAAAGAGCCTCATTAGCATTAATTTTTTTCTTTTATCGTGTTATGCTCGCGGTAGAAAATATTTTTGCCACGGTATGGTTTGCCAAACACAGGCGGTCCCTTATGCAGTGAGATCAGATGCAACCGTGACAGTCAGCCCCTCACCAATCCCTCCCCCAACAGACAGTGCTGCTGCGCCGGCCGCCGGGGAAGAAACCGGTGAGAATTTCCTGAGGTTGAGTGGCTCTGCGCCGCAGGCGATGTATGGGATTTGAATAGGGGGTTTTGTTAGAATTCTCTTGACAACAGTTCCAGGTTACACGCCTCTGGTCCACAAGATGACGAAGTTTGTCGAGTCCCTGTCGAGGCCGGAGTCAGGTTGTTTAGGACATCGTGTACACGGACAGCAGTGTTACCTATTTGATCCGGGAAGTCTACATGTATTTCGTACACTTTTGTACATCAAAGAGCTCTTCATTACTCTGTAGACCTGTCCACAGCCGCATCATCAACTGATACCCGGATGTCTTGAAGCTCACTGTCAGAGAACCCCCCGTCAGCGCTAGCGTCGGTCTTCAGGGCTGACGATCCATGTGGGGCATGGATGGCATGGCTGGGACCCTACGGGGCCGTTCCCGAAGACCGAACGCGCCAGGTCCGCCCATCTTCATCATTCAGGAACCAGTTAATGGCGGGTAAAAAATAACGATTCAGACGTTGAAACAAGTCGTCGGGAGTGACCTGAGGGATACCCGACATGGGACGTGCCCGGCCTACACACTACTGACTGAGGTGTCGCATGGAAGATCGCCCAGCAGAACAGGTTTGGCTGGAGGGTGCCTGGTTGGAAGTGGGTGGTGCAAGGTTTCTGGCAGGTACCACCCTCCTGTCGTGCACCATTAGCGCCCGACCCTCTGGAGCAACACCCCATGAGGCCCCAATCAATCCTCAGCATTTGCGGTGCACGCAGAGCTGAAGGCCAGAATCTCGTATTTCCTCCGCTCATTTCCCACGCACGCTCTCTTTATCAGAGTGTTTCGCTGGTTCTCTGGCTTTTCTGTCTTCGTGATCCTTTGCTTTCTCCCCTCCAACGTCCCTCTCCCAGTCCGATGTGCTGCTGAGCTGGAGATGCTGCAGCCTGTCGCCGTCCCATCTCGATGATTTCACAACATAAATACACCGGTTCGCCCGCCAGAATGCCGTCTCGGAGGTCGTCTGTCGCGATCGCCTTCATCGCCCTTAGTTTCCTGCTGCTGCTCTACACATCGAGGAGGCTGGGCAGCTGGACGCCCTACAACGAGCCTTATCACCACGAGACCGATCCTCACAAGAGCCAACATGCGCCTCAGGGAGATGGCGCCCACGATACCAAGCCCGTACCGTCGACGCAGGCCCCCGCCGTCGACCCCCTGTGCGAAGGGTTCCCCGACACCAGCAACATCCTGCTCGTCATGAAGACGGGAGCGTCCGAGTCCTTTGCGCGTGTGCCCACCCAGATGATGACCATGCTCAAGTGCCTCCCCGACTTCCTCATCTTTAGCGACATGGACCAAAACATTGGCGGACAAGAGATCCACGACAGTCTGGCCACGGTCCAGGAGGCTGCGCAGGAAGACAACTCGGACTTTGACCTGTATCGCCGACAAAAGTGGTGCGAGGTCGACCAGGAGAACTGCAACAAGCTCGGCAACCCGGCCCGGGAAGGGTGGAACCTTGACAAGTACAAGAACGTCCACATTGCTGAGAAGGCGTATAACATGCGGCCCAACTACGACTGGTATCTGTTTGTCGACGCCGACACCTACGTGCTGTGGCCCAACCTGGTCGAGTGGCTGAAGCAGCTGAAGCCGACCAAGAAGGTCTACCTGGGCAGCGTCACGCTGATCAATAACTTCAGCTTCGGACACGGAGGCTCGGGTTACATCGTCAGCAAGGCGACCATGGACGACTTCATCGGCAACAACCCGGGTGTCGGCAACCAGTACGATATGAGAGCAAAGCGCGAGTGCTGCGGCGATTACATCTTTGCCCTTGCGCTCAAGGACAAGACGGAAGTCGGGGTCCAGCAGATGGTAAGTGTCTCCCTCTCTACATTGGCATGCTTCTTCCTTGGCACGCTCGCTCGCGTGGTGTCCTGGATCCCGATCGCTTCCAGCATTTTGGGACGAGGCTAACAGCTGGACTGCAGTGGCCTACCATCAACGGCGAAAAGCCCGCCACTCTTCCCTTCGGCCCATCGCATTGGTGCCACCCCATTGTCACCATGCACCACATGAACGCCGAGGAGATCAACACCTTCTGGCACTTTGAACGGAAGCGATACCACCGCCTCGCGCAGTCTGGCAAAAAGGCCGAGACGCTTGTGATCCGCGACATCTTTGACGAATTCTTGGCTCCCAAACTGAACGAGACACGCGAGGATTGGGACAACAACGCCGACAATCGCTTCTACCTCGACCAATCCAACGACCGCAAGTGGGAAGACTGGATGACGAACCGCATGAAGAAGCAGGATCAGTACAACGAGCACGAGAAGAAGGCACACGAGTCGTTCGAGGCCTGTGGTGCCGCCTGCAAGAGCTTGGGCAACGAGTGCTTCATGTACAGATACAAGGATGGTGCCTGCAGTATTTCCAACTCGTTCCAGCTTGGCAAACCCCTGAAGAAGGGGGCAGACAAGGACCGGACCATGAGCGGCTGGGACGTCGAAAAGATCAAGAAGTGGGTGGCCGATCAACCGGCATGCGACAAGATCCGTTGGCCCGAGGTCAAGACCAACTAGAAGGAGGAGTTGTCATCATGGTCGCCAATGGGAGTTTCCTTCCGATTCAAGGCAAAAAACACACATTCATGAGCCATCAGCTTTGGGAATTTTAGGGATAGGGACTGCTTTGGCGTTTGGGTTGGCTTTGACGGGCGCTGTGGCATACTGGGTAGGTATAATGAAGGAAGGGAAAGACAGGACAAAGGAAGAGGAGCTCTCTGGTACAGGACTCCATCAGCATCATTGAACAAAACACGACAAAAGCGGCGGGAATAGATCTTTTTGGGGGGCACTTTTACAACCAGCGGCATCTGACAAGCAAGCAGGCGAGCACGTACATTGGTCATTTTCTCTTGATAGAGTTTGTTTGACGGCATCTCTCCTTCAACAATTGTATAAATCTGCCTTGGCATATGTAGATGAATGCAACCATGTAGACAACAGGGTGTGTTTGGGTTGTTGAAACAAGTGTTGCCACTTCCCTGGATTGGGTACCATACGGCAAACCAATAATCCCGGCGTGAGACACACATCAAGACATGTTTTATTGCCCGTCTCATTTTTATCCAGCTTCACCTCCCCTGCTTCCCCAATCCTCGTTCACGACTCCGACTAGATATACGGCTGCAGACTAGGCAAAACCCGATCATACGCCACACTGGACGGCGGCTCCATTGCAAACATGTAGTTTCCCCACCATGGGCCGCCTCCCCACCAAGCCCAGCCAGTCCAGACATCGTTGTTCTGCTGCAGGTAACTCAGCATTCCTGTCAGGGCAGCAATGCAGTTGGTGTTGGCCCCGCCGGCTGTCTCTCCGAGGAAGCCCTTCTTCTTATTCTGCTTCAGCCACTCGGTAGCAGCACGGACACGTTCAGCGCCGATGGTGCGGGAAACGCAGGTTTCCGAGGTGCCGGAGCCGTCGCTGTCGAGGTACTGGTGCATTTGGTAAATAATCTTCTCGCCCGTCGAGTCGGCTGGATCGCGGAGGGAGAGGAGGTTGGCTCCGTTGCCCGAGGATACCTATGGGCGAGTATGGTTAGTGCCAAGACTGACAATGAAAAGGGGCAGAATAGGGGGCGTTACCCAGGTCCAAGCGCCAGTCCAAGAGTTTCCTTCGACCATGATGTACTGAGCCGTCGCTCCCGTGGCACGGATGGCGTCGATAGCAGCTTGGTTGAGGCGGCGGACTAGATCATCAGCCATGTCGTGATACTCGTTGTTGGTGTCAAAGATGACCTTGTCGTTGTTGACGAAGAGCTTGGCAATGGTGGTCCACCAGGCCGCGAAGCCAGCTACATCGGTTATGACGTTGTTGTAGTAGCGGCCAAAGTTGTGGGGGTCAATGATGGCATAGGCGCCTTTGCTGGTGACATAGTTGACGATCTGGAGCTTCATTAGCGACCTATCAAGAACAGGACACGTTCACTGGGAAACTACATCAGTCAGGCCGCTGGCATAAGTGGCATCAAGTGGGCCATCAAGCTTGTTGGGAACAATGCGTTCCCTGACAGGGTGTCAGCGCTTTTGACTGGAGTACGTTATGTTGAATGTGCCAAGGTCCACTCACATCATGAAAGCAATGCGGAAAGTGTTGAATCCCTTGCCCATCAAGGCCTATCCCGTATCATCAGTTTTAGAAGCTACACAAGCAATCTGCCGTGTCGGATCAAGACTTACGTCGATACTCGACCTCACCGGCCAGGTGTAGTGTTTTCCAAGCTGGCCAGGCAGAGTATCTTTTCCGAACTCAGCACCGGATTGGTTGACGCCAACGAACTGGAACTTGGTTGCCCGCTTGGTCGGGGCATCACAGACTGGCGCCGGGGCCGGAGCCGCCAGCGCTGACCCGACGGCAGCAGCGCCGAGAAGAAAATTGAGAAGCTTCATGGCGAACTCTCACACGATGATGGAGTGACAAGTTCAACATAGCACCAACACGGCAGACTCATTCTTATACCAATAGTCAATATTTCCATTCAGTCTTGACGACTGCAATCAAAACATCACCAGGCCACCGGAAATACCCCCTCCGCCCTCGCGATGAGAAAATAAAGTAAAGTTGATTAGGAGCTCTGCGCTGCTCAGATTTCCCTGAAACATTACGCCACGAGCGAGGCTCATATTCAGGCATGTCGGCGAGCACATAATTCGCGAGTGAAAGAGGCTCCAATCGGCGCCTTGGGAGGTATCTCGTCACCAAGATGCAGATGCAGACTTGCCAACAGCCGGGAATCGTCGTTGGAGAGTCTGTGGGGTGACACCCTGCTCAAGGCCCGAATGGGGCTGCTTCCTCCGCCCTCCTCGAATCAGCCGTGAGAGCGCCATCGAGGGGATGGTCACAAGAAACAGATCAGATGGGCCGTTGAGCTCGAAGTGGATATTCTCACTTTAGCAAGTTCAATAATAAGATTGACTTGCGATAAATTAGAGACTGGAACGACAAAGCGTCGATCACCTAAAGATCGAGGACACAGATTACCTTAGTTAGGTAGGTACTTGAGGCTCGGTCCAAGTCATCAGGCAAGGCTGCGATGTTTTTGCCTGTAAGGGAGGCTACTATTTCCCCCTGACTTGTATCTACCTTAGTCAGGTAGTAGGTGCCGATGTCATTCAGGTAGGTCAGATTATGGGGTACACTGTAGCGAAATCTTAGCCCTTTGCCTAGCGATCACCTAGATACAAGAATGACCGGTATGGCAAAGCACCGCAAATTATCATTGCTATAGTCGCACTAGTTTCCTTGGCGACACACAAGCCGTCGAAAATGCCGATCTAGATACAGGGCCGGGAGTAATCCGGCAACCGGAACACGGGGGCGGAGCCGGCCCGCATGACCTCTACCTTAACACCGATTTGAGCCGAATGTTTCGACCCCCTTTCCCCTCGTAGTTGGTGGGCATGTTGGTGTTACACTCTCTCCAAATCCTCATTAACTCAGCCAGCTGATCGACCGATTCGCCTTGAAATTTAGGACGGTACAATCGGACGTCAAGCCGCCCGGCAACGCTATTAGCAACCGAACTCACCGGAGAAAAGTGGAGAACAGATGGCCGGACTCCGGGTCATTCCGGGATGCAGACGAGGCTTGCACTTTGGAGGTACCTGTGAACGGAGGGTGACCTTGCAGACAACACGACAGTTAAGGCCACGAGGGCAGCCTGGAAGCAGCTGTCGACCATATTCTGCCACCACAGCATCAACACCGAATGGAAGAGGATGGGGCCGCAACGCATTCGTTGCCTCCGGGGCACTGGGTCTCGTTGGATTCGGAGCAGGTGTCATGTTCGGCAAGGGATACTATGAACTAGTGCAACCAAAGGCTGAATGGGATTTGAACACGCCGAATATCCCCAAGGCTATCACGTATGCCAACCGATTCGAGATGCTGCATGCTGCCGAGGAGATTGCCCGACTGATAGGCCAAGATTGTGTCAGTTACGACTCTGATGTGTTGGAACATCACGGACACTCTGACTGGTCTACTTCCAACTCCTCAGAAAGAGCCGTCGCCGTAGTCTTTCCTCGGACGACGGAGGATGTGTCTACCATCGCCCGGATATGCAGCAAACGCAAAGTCCCCATGATTCCTTTTGGAGCTGGCTCTTCGGTTGAGGGCAACTTCAGCCAGCCTTATTCAGGAATCTGCATCGACTTCACCAATATGGACAAGGTGATATCGTTCCACCCGGAAGACATGGACGTGGTAGTCCAGCCAGGAGTAAACTGGGTCGATCTCAACAACAAGATTGCCCACACCAACCTCTTCGCGCCGATGGACCCCTCCCCAACAGCCACCGTCGGTGGCATGGTCTCAACTAACTGTTCTGGCACCAATGCCTTCCGCTACGGAACCATGAAAGACTGGGTCCTCAACCTCACCGTTGTCCTGCCTGACGGCCAAACCGTCAAGACCCGTCGACGACCACGAAAGACCTCGGCGGGGTACAATCTCACCTCGTTATTCGTCGGTGCAGAAGGGACTCTGGGTATGGTGACAGAAATCACCCTCAAACTCGCCCCTATACCGCAAGACACCTCCGTCGCCGTGATCCCCTTCCCCAGCATCAACGACGCCGCCGCAGCCGCCACCTCGCTCATTCGATCTGGCATCTCCGGCCTTGCCGCTCTCGAAATCATGGACGACGCCCAGATGGCCATCCTCAACAAGCACGGCAGCGCCACCGTCCGCCAACGCCGCTGGCAGGAGAAGCCTACCCTGTTTATCAAATTCTCCGGCACCACCGAAGCAATCAAATCCGACATTTCACGCGTCTCATCCCTCGTGGCACCTTTCAGTGCTCACCAGCTCATCTTTGCCAGATCGAAAAAGGAGGAATCCAATCTCTGGGCTGCGCGCAAAGAAGCCTTGTTCACCATGGTTAATATCCGCCCCGAGGGAACAGAAATGTGGTCTACCGACGTTGCGGTGCCCATCTCGCGGCTTGCTGAGATCATCACCTGGTCCAAAGAGGAGTGTTCCAAGCTGGGCGTTTTTGCCAGCGTCATTGGACATGTGGGGGATGGCAACTTTCATGTGGCTATGATGTACGACCCGAGGAATGCAGGGCAAAAGGAGGCAGTGGGGAAGACGGTCAAAGAGATGATGAAGAGGGCGTTGGAGATGGAAGGGACCGTGTCGGGGGAGCATGCTATTGGGATTGGCAAGAAGGGTAGCCTCAGGGACGAGTTGGGGGTGGAAACGATTGGGTTGATGAGGGCGTTGAAGAGGGCTGTGGATCCGGATTGGATTATGAACCCAGGGAAGGTGTTTGACTAGCGTCGTTCTTAATCTCGCTCATATATATTAGTTAGTGGTATTTTTGGTTGAGTAGGTAGGTATTGTTCAACACTCAAAGCTCGGGTATCATCGCGAAATGTCATATTCATCATCTACGCCCTGCCCTTAGTTGCCCAATGACCTCCTCTCCTACAAACACCGCCACAGTTCCGATCAAGACCCAGCCTCCGACATACCAAGCCCAGTCACCCACCACACCAAACACCAAGCCCCAGATCAAAACATCGAATACGCACGACGCAAGGCTCTGGCTCACTGCACCAGGACACACCTCAACCACAGACCGGCCGAACAGCAGCTGTTTTGCTTGCCAGAGCCCTATGATGGCCCTCCAGATTGCATACAGCGTAAAAACTGCCCAAACAGCATCTCGGAAAGCGATGAAAGAGGGATTTTAGATTTTGAATGAGACTTCGTATAGGATCGGGCTGAAATAGGTTTGCCGCCGTGGTTGACGGTTTGTGGACATAGTCCGGGTTGGGTTGGAATTCGACCGGCGGCATTGATACTTCATGGTATAAATGTGTTGGTGAATGTAATACATTGGTAAAAACTTTATTAGGGATGAATGTCGGGTAGCAAATCACATGGGAGTTCGGGTCTTTCTATTAAATGCTGCCTGGGGGAACCACGCAATCCAGGAGACGTGCCAAGAGTCGAAAGGCCATCGAGACCCGCCAAGGTGGTACTAAGTTATCGAACATCCATCCTAGCTACCACAAGACGCGCAATCTAATTATTGTCTTTCAGGTCAACTAAGCCTTGTTTTCGCCATCGCGCGTGACAGTCTCAGCCAAACCAGGCTGCTCCCCCTTTTCTTTTCTAGCAATGACAGCCTCGATCTCGGCAGCCAAGCGAGACTCGCCCTTTCTGGTGTTCCACGGACGTGGCCCGTCCTTAGAGAACATGACCTCAATCTCCTCCAACGTCTTACCGCAGGTCTCTGGGTAAAACACCCAGAACCAGATCGCCGCGGCAACGCACAAGGCGCCAAAGATGATAAAGAGCTTCCAGGTAATGTTGACAAAAGCTGGTGGCGTGAACATGCCCAAGGCAAAGTTGAAGACCCAGTTGGACAGAGCCGCCATCGACATGCCTGTGGCACGGGTGCCGAGGGACCACACTTCAGCAGCGTAGATCCAGCATACTGGAGCCAGCGTAAGGGCGTACACCACGATCAGGAGATACGAGAAGGTGATGACAGTGTTGGCCGGGGCACCCGAGTGAACAGCAATGACAATGTTGGCATTCGGGGGGTTGCCAACTCCACCAGGAACGTCGGTGTGGTTGCCACCCATGACACCGCCGATGACAAAGTGGCAGAAGCCCATGCCAAGAGCTCCCCAGACAAGGAGAGTGCGACGGCCAGTCTTGTCAATGAAAAGCCTGTGAAGAAGTGTCAGTCTTTGTGTTGTTGACGACCAAACGAGAAAGAACTTACCACATGACACCTGTAAAGATGATGAAGACGGCATACTGAATACCCGAAGTAACCATGGCCACATCGCCCTCTAACCCGGCCATCTGGGCGATATATGTCAGGTAATACACAATGACATTGGCACCAGCCAGTTGCTGCCACGCCTGTACCGTCATTCCCGCCATGGTCCTCTTCCACATTCCATTCTTGAAGAACTTCCTCCACCCCTTTCCAGCCTCCCTCTCCGCATTCATGACTGTGACAATCTCTTCCCACTCGGCAATCACCCTCGGATCCTCAATATTGCCATCCGCCTGGATGTTTGCCAGCGTCCGGATCGCTTCTTCATCCCTCCCCACTTTGGCCAACCATCTGGGGGACCGGGGCAGAAAGGGCAGCCCAATAATGAGGAGAACGCAAGGGATAAACTGCGTCCCCCACGCCGTCCGGAAGCTTGCCGTCCCCGGGATACTCGCACACGCATAGCCGATAAAGTACATGATCAAAATGCCAAACTCGATGGCGAGCTGCTGGATAATGACCAGACTCCCTCTCTTTTCCGCTTTGGCGATCTCGGCCAGGTACACGGGCACCTGAGCGGACGTGATACCAACCGTGAATCCGTTGAACACTCTGCCCACGATCAGCTGGCCGACGTTTTGGCAGGCC